CCAGGAGGGAGTGAGCGAGTGGCTGTGTGGGGCTTAATTGCTGGCTGGGGTTAAACCATGACAGCATCCTGACAGAGACACACGCCCTTGTAATCCAGGCAGAATCTGCCAGCAGAGAGATTAGTCAGTGATTATCAGCTGGCTCAGAGTCAATCCAGCAGGGATTTCATACAGTTACAGGCCCTCAGACAACCCATACGTATTCCAGCTCACTCCACTCCACTTCCTGCGCTTCCCCTAAACCCTCAGCCTGAAATGAACAGGAAAACCCAGGAAGCAGGAGCAGACTTACCCCAGCAGTGCACAGCTGGCTTCGTGCCTCTCTTTCTTCAGGGGTGTCCTCAGCACACAGCTGCTGCTCCTCTCACTCCAGGTGCATGCAGCAGGCAGCAAAATGAGAAGCTCCAAGAGCATTAAACAGACGCCATACTCAGCTTTCTTCTCTGCAAGTGAGGTGAGTACGTCACCTGCCGGGTCTCACACAGATGTGGTGGATCTTCATGCCTCTTAAGCGCTCTTAAGCATGGTTCAGGGTCTCCTGGCGGTACCCACCGTAAAACCACCATGAGCTGCAGGCACCGTTGCGTTGTCTCGTAACTTTGCCTGAGTGGAGGTTACATCACATACTCCTCCCCCTCCCTCTCTTGCCTCTCCCCACATGATTTATCAGATTAGGGGACTAGAAAGAGGAGGAAAACGAACGCGGAAGAGGACTGGGATTCCACAGGAGTAAACCACTGACCTTTAGTGTCACGCTTGGGAGCCTGGCCAAATGGGAACCAGGCCAGCATTTCTTCTGCAGGTTTCTTCAGGACATGTCATGACAGCTTTTCAAACAGTAAAAGATGAGGAATCATGCCTGGACAAGACCCTGGAAAACAGTCTGTTTGGAGTACTCGTTCAGCCCATCACAAGGGACTGTCAACGAGCCTTTTGTGCGCTCAAAATAAGTCCAAACCACAAAATGAGAGAGTGGAGAACAGCAGGAGCACCCACTCCACTCTACTCACTCAGGGAAGGCAGAGCAAACTCAGCTGGAGTCACCCCCTCATATCCAGCCTCTGTCCCTGGGGGAGTCACATTTACTGTCTTTAAAGATATATGGAAAACTTTTGAGGAGTTTTATGGTGATACCAAGTTTCCCCCCCCGTGATCTCCAGCAACCGTATCAAGGAAAAAATGCAGAGAGCCTTAGTTGGCAGTGGCTCAAGTCAGTAATTGCAATGCATGTGATTCAGTCCCATGTGGAGGTACCAATGCAGAACCAGCACCCTGGCCCCGTCCCACCAAGAAACAACGCAAAGCTAAGTGATGGGGTTCTGCTTGGTCACCAGAGGTGTACCTGCACCTGGGGTGTAGATATGCTGTCTTATCTTCCCAGTGGGCACAGTTTATTAGCAGAACTCTGAAAAAAGAAGGTAGCATCACAGCTTGTACCACTCTGTTGTGTCTGTCACCAGATACATTACAAGCACTTCTGAAGGGCAAAACACCAAAGATTAGCTTTTGAAAGCAGGATAATTAGACATACCATGTGGTGGTAGTTTTTTGTTGAAACACATCATTTGAGGATGCTGCTGGACATCTACTGTGTTTCCATGACTTGTGGAAACTATGACAGAAATTAAACAGATACTTTTGGAAAAGATGATTTAGGGTGTAGGCTTTGCATTTTGGGGTTGGGGGGGTCAGAAGGGTAACCCAGTTTAGGAGAAGGTTTGACTGACCTTTGGTATCATATTGGGGTTTTTTTTGTTGATCCAGGTGTTGTTGGTTCAGGTTCAGGGAGACAATGATAGTGAACTTTACATACCATTTTTTGCAGAGCATCCTATAAAGGCCCTTTCTTGAAGTTTTTAATTGCTCACTAACCAACAGGTTTCATTTCTAAAGTTTTGGTGCCCAAGTCCTTAAAAAGGTTTGGTGATTTATCTGTGTGAATCAATGGAGGTAATAAATCAGACCAGCCCTTTCTATCTGTCTATTATGTGTAGATGGCACTGTATTTTATTACTCCTATCTGGTAACTTTAAGTAATGTTTGTTGAGCTATTTATATTGATGTATAAGACTCAGAATTACAGACACAAACTTTTCCATCAAACTTTTTTACCCTGCTGAAAAAAATTCAGCTGAAGTGAATTTTCACAAACACATTTCATTTGGGGCAAAGTATTTTATTGTTCATGTAAACTGAATTTTTAAAAAAAATACCATGAAGTGTATT